AAAGAAATACCATGCCTAGAGCGCTCGGCGCTCTGCACCAATCTAGACAGATCCTGTAGATCGAACTGAGTTACTTGCCTACAATGGTGGAGCGTCTCCTAAAAAAGATTCTTTCCTTGCGTGCTGCGAAAAGAAGCAGGAATACCTGCAAAGTGACACTTGATAACGGCGTTCCTCTTGCAACCATTGCATAGAGCGGGGTTGAAAATTCCGTGCTTCCAATTTCACGCGACAAACATGTGCGCATTACGTCTAAAATGGCTTTTGCAATGTAATAAACCATGTGAACAAAAGCCAGCTCTGTAACCATGTGAGTCCATAAACCCTCCCACAGCTCTTCGTGTGGAGTTTTTGTTGTCCACAGCACGCCAGCCAAGATTATATTGAGGTACATGTTTCCTATTTTCGACGGAAGGTCATCAATCCGCACATATAGCGGCCAAAGCTCCTGCCTAAACACGTCGTAAATTCAGACAAAGGATTCCTGTCAGACTTCTGGTGAAAGACCTGCTTAGCCGTGCTGGCGTGAATCCATCGGTGGCTATACTCAGCTGTAGAGTGATTCTGCGCCTGGAGAACTCTTCTGAGATGGGATGAGAGATTGAGTACGAGAGTAGTATAAAGAAAGGTGAAGATGTTGAGAAAACACCAAAAGAGAGATGGACATCGATGGATGAGGTAGCGAATTTGAAAAGCAAACAAATTACTACGCTTGTTCACAAAAAGCAGATCTGAGGATATCCATGAGAATTACACACTTAGTACAGGCAAATTTAAGCTCATGGAAATGTGTGTTGTTGAGAGAGACAGTACGATTCAACTAAAAATTGATATGAGCTGACATTAAAGAATGGCTCAAAAACTTCCCGCTAGAGCTTTAGCCATACTTTACCCGTGTTACCGTGTTACTGGTCTTACCCGTGTTACTCGTTTACTCGCATTACCATTGTTACTAGTGCTACTCGTATTACCCGTGTTACTCACTCGCCACTAGTCAATGAGATCGCGTTCTAGAATGAGCCTGTATCTGTGATCATTTTACTACTTAAAGCACTAAAAGCGGTAAAAGCAGTAACACTAGTAACATTAGTAACACAGGTTACACCGGTAACATGGGTAACACGGATAAAGTTCGGCCAAAGCCTAATGGATCTATAAATTTGAGTAGCAAAAGATTCCACCAAACCAATCGTGCAAAAATACACTTATCACAGCTTTAGTTTCAACCATACAAAAGCGCTGTTTCTGCTGTTAGCAGGCAGCGTTTCCATCGTCAGTTGTTATCGACGTTCTGTTGCTACTGTTGTTAACCACTACTGCTGCTGTTATTTGCTACCCCTGCTACTGCTGTTAGATGATGGAACGAACAATCAAGTCTCATTTCTCCATACAAGTTTTCAATGATTAGGTAACAGCAGCAACATCAGTAACAAGGATACAGCGGTAACATCAGCAACAGCGGCAACAATTGATAGTGACTACGAAGTAGTGCATGGCAAGAATCCAAATAGACACAAAGAAGAGATTTCAATCCATAAAATAAACAAAAATGTGAGTGAAATACGAAATGTCTTAGTAGGTTGCATGAAGCGGAATGTGGGTGAAGAGAATAGAGGGTGAAAGAGAAAGTGGAAAGATGGGAGGTGAATAAAAGATCCTCGAACAACTTCATTACTCTTGCTTAAAGATTATTGTATATTCTCATTAGTGATCTCTAATGTGCACAGCTTCGGAAAGAAAGCAAGAGAGCAGTGCTAAATCAGAGAGGAAAACAGGAAACTTTAAGAAAAGAAAGAAAGAAAAGCAGTGCTAAATCAAAAAAGAGAAAGAAACATTATCATAGAAGTGAGTTGAAGCATAACTAGTGTCAAATAAAGCGCAATCACGCTCACCTGAAAGTCGACTTGTGCCCTCAAAGTAGAAGCCTTGAACTATTTGTTCGTCGCGACTATATTCGGCTGATGCCCTTGCTCTGAAAAAATTCACGTTAGAAAAGAGGAAAGAAGAGATCTAATATGCAAAGAATCGTAAGCGCAGTTTGAAAATCATCAAATCGCGAGATACCGCGGTGCGGTCCCGAAGCGCACGCACATATAGCACCTTCACATAACTGCTTCACTAGTAGGAGGAGAAAAGATCGAAATTACAACCACTCAGCTAGGAACCAGAATCTAAATACTACCTAAGATAACACTCCAATTTGAATTGCTAAACTTTCACCATCTATAACAGATTGACAGACTAGCAGTATAGTGAAATAGCGCAAGTGCACTGTTACGAAATACAGAAAAGAAAGCAAGGAGAATCAGACGCTGAAAAAGACTTGCCTAAATTCATATTTTCCTTTTTATATATAAAACAGCACAAAGTCACATTTAGAAGAATTTCGAAACACGTAAAATTTATGAGTAAATGTAAAGTCAAAAGGAGTCATTTCCTTATTACATGGTGCATCATAACAGCCGCACTCGCAAAGAGCTGTACAATAGATGGTCGCACATATATTAAGGTAATTCAATAGCCGGATCATCTATTTGCTTGTTTTGGCTCTGGGTCATAGCTTCACACCTCGCACTGCGACAGAGGACGGTAATTATGATGTGCGAAGTAACAAGCAAGAGGTCACTTCACCCTTAACGACAAGTGATGCAAATACATTTGAATAATGCCACATGGAAAGAAGAGAATTCAGTCAATTTACAGAATAAAACGAGAGGACGATGGAAAAGAAACACTAGAAGTCCGCACTTGCGCTAAATCAGATATCGCACTGACCATTACATAAGTTTGATGAAGACTCTGTGACTTTTTACGACAATTCAGTCATTAGAATGAAAGTAGCGCTATTACGAAATACCGCGAAGCTCTCGGAAAATTCCCTTTTCTTAAAAGCTTTTGGAAAGTTTCGCATTTATAGATACTTCCCGAAGAAATCCTCGGGAAGTTCCTAACTGCGTTGCTCCTGACGTCAAAGTTTTCGGGAAACTCCCATTTTTGCGCTTCCATTCACCTCTGTGTTAAACGAGTTCTTCGGGAAGTTTGCCAAAATTGGCTTGTTTTCGGGAAGCTCCCGTGAATTGTCTGAGTTCCATGGGGCACTGTATTGCATTGGCATGTGTTTAAGATTATCAAAATCTATTGTTGCTCATATGAACAAATTTTGAGAATAACAAAATAGTATCATATGTCTACCGTATCACTATGGACTACAGGCATTATGTATACTATAAGATTAGTCTCATCAAGCTGCCAAATCTTCTTGCAGATTAATAAAGCTGTTTCAGAAAAAGTTATAACTAAATCCCGCAAATCCCGCAAATCCCGCGAATCTCGCAATTTTGGCAGGATTCCGCCGCTGCAATTGTATGACAATATCTCGCATAAGTCTTTCGTAATACTAGGCATAAATCTAGCTGATACTCCATTTTACCGTTTTTGTCGAATTTTGCCATTCAAAGTCAATCCCTCAAAAGAAATTGGCTAATACATTGAACAAAGATTAGAGGAGCTGCGTCAAAACGGCCTAATTTGTTTATTCACTGTGTATGTTTTGCTAACAGCCAAAAATACTCAAACCTGATGGTTATATTGAGTTATACTTCAAAAAAAAAAGTTTTCCTTTCAAACCTAGATTTGATTTCGAATAAATTACTCGACTAATCTCAGATATTTTCTTTCTCAAAAACGTCAATTCTGAGATATGTCAATGATCAAATATCTGAATTCGATTAATCTGAAAATCGTAATTCGGATAGTCCGATCGTTCAAGCATTTCCAGTCATTGTTACATATTTGTCCGTTCAAATGTTCTTGCAATCAGAAAATCCTTCGTTGGAATTTTTTCAGTGAAACCTTCGCTAGAGATTTTTGACCATCAACTGTATAATCCAGGTCTTTCACACCTCAGAGCGAAAGATTGTAATCGAGATAATGAGCTTAGGAAAGCGAGAGGGACTCCCGCGTAATGCAGCGCAGTGAGGGCTGCGTCGCATTTCGGTTTTACTACCACGGTGCGGCTGTGGTTGGGGTATCAGTTGATACGGACCCGCGGTTCTCGATACAGAATTTCTATATATACTTCAACCCAACTTTGAGCAATAATCCCATTGAATAAGCTCTCATCCGAAATTTACGCTTCTTATGTCGATTTTCATAGAAGTATAATCGCTTACAAATTGTTCTAAGGGTTCTTCTGCAAAAGTTTAGGCCTGTTTGGGGTAAGCGTTTTATGTTGCTTGTACTAAAATGCAGTTTGTTGTTAACGGGACTTCAACTTACTACCGTTCCCTTGACCGCGCGCGGTTTCGCTCGCGATCATGCGAGCCGCAAAGGTTGCTAATAGTAACTTTTTGCAAGTTTTTGGCAGTCGGATCATTGAACTTCTAATGAGGAATTGTTTAGAAACAAATTCTTTCATTTATCAAAATTTAAACAGAAACTGCACCTGACCAAATACCGCACTGTTACTACTGTCGAAATGCATTCAAATTGAAGCTGTCATCAAATTGTTGAGGTCGATATCTTTTGCCAAGGCTTTATTGAATTCAAAATTTGATAAATACTGACTTCTTAAAAACTTTGGAGCATCCAATTAATTGTTACCCCTAGTCAGCGGACGGCAGAACACCAAGTTGCGTTTCCGCATCTGCACAGAAAGTGCGCTCTACACTTGGATAGCCTTATATTCTGGAAGATAGGGTAAATATGTGGCTAGGAAACCTCAAGCAATAGAATTCAATGCTATATGCTTTCTACTATTCCCAAGAAGCGCGTCCATCTATATCAAATATGCCTTCGTTTTTTGGACGTAGTAATGCGAAACTGGCTCCTATGACGTTACATAATCATTTTACTAATAATGCCGAAAGTGTCGTCAACTTTATAATAACTGGAGCAGTTGTATGGAGCCTTATGCAAAAAACCGCGAAAATACTAATTTCGTTTCATGCACACTAAAGCAGCAGTTAATTTTCTTTCCACTTTTATTAAGAGGTTTTCAGAGCAGAATTTGGATCATCGGGACTTTACGACTCTACCTACAACACACGTCTCACAAGGTATGCGCAAAAAAGCTAATCATAATTTTGCTTCAAACTAAGTGTCAGGGTCAGCACATTTGCAGGTTTTATGATAAAAGGTTTATATTGACATTCTAGCCATTGTCCCTTACTTGCAAAAACTCAACAGAATTTCAATCGCTGTTGTAGAAGCAAAGTAATACACTTTATACATACATCTTGAGCACTTTGCTCTTTGATCCATCACTTCTTGTCTATGACTGCATAGTAAATCTTGTTCACGTACCGGCTTCATTCCTTTGAGCAGAATACCTCGGAAAGTTTGTATGCTTAGGTATGGTAAAAATTCGAAGTGGCCAATCCAAGCAAGCTGCCCGCCATTCAATGCAGCATTCAAGCTGATTTCGATTCTTTGTTAATCTGCTTAGCGCCTTTGTGGACGAAGTTGTGAGCAGTTTATTGCGAAAAAAATGGTACATAGAAAAATGCATTGGACACATTGTGACAATTTTAGCTCACTTCAGACTTTCAGAATATAAAGAAACCTAGCTGCATGTTTTGGCCCAGCATCAGATTGAACAAGGCTTTGCACTGCCAAATTCATGCTTTGCAAGCATCCTAGCAAAATAACAGTTTTGACGTCTCATAACTTCGCCCACACACAAGTGCCAAGCAGATATGCGATACAGTTTCGAAGTCAGCGTTTTAAGCTGCATCCAATGATGTGCAGCTTGTTCGGATTGGCCACTTCGATTTCTGACCGTTTCTTGTTAGATGCCATTGAAGAAATTTTTTAACTAGATTGATGATGAACTTTCGTGCACTTTAATGTTCATTTCAAGTATGAACGCTTGGAGCATGCGATATAAGCTGAATTATTTTCTGCGTTCAAAGATAGCAAGCTACGGTAACAGCTTTTCGTTGATCTAAGTGTAGTTTCCAGTTTATGTAGCTGGATAAGACGATCATGTCTACCTATCCAATCCGTTGCTAACCCCTCATAACCTGAAATTTCTACCTGGACTTGAGTTTGCAGCTTATATGGCGAAAAGGACTTGTGAGATTTGCGATATACTAGCTCAGATACGCGACTCTTTTGATTCCTGAAGATATTCCATAATAAAGCTCAATATTCCGCACCGAATCTACACAACATTTACCCACATGCTTGCTCAATAAGCCAGCTTTTTATTACGCTAACTTCTGTGATAAACATTTTCACTCAATTATTCTCTCTCTATTGAATTCTGACTGCCCAGCTCGTTTTGAGGGAAATCGAGATGGTATTTACTCTACGAAAGGTTGCTAGAATTGTTCAGCAGGATTAATTACCTCAGCTCCTCCTGTACCATACTTCCGTCATGGCCTGAAGTTCGCAAAAAATTGGTGGAAATCGTTAAAGGCAGTGGCTCGGGATTGCAACTGCGGGCTTCTTACGACTATTATACATGGTCTTCTGGACCAGCTGAGTTCGGTACTGCGATTGAAACTCAAAAAAGTGCTTTTTTGGCGTTTCTGGGCCTTGGAAAGTGCTAGAGGGGCGGGACGAGGGATTCACCCTAAAATGAGCAAGCGGCTGCAGGAGACTGTAACTCCACCTACTTTGGCGGCAAACTGTATCGCGATGGCTGGCTAGGCTGATCAGCCGATTGCCGCTAAAACAGATGGAGTTACAGTCTTCAGCAGCCAGTTGCTCCTTTTGGGTTAAATCTCTCGCCCCGCCCTTCTGGCAACCTCCAAAGCCCGACACGCCAATAGAGCAACTTTTTGAGCTTTCAAGCGCATTAGTGAACTCAGCTAGTCCAGAGACCATGAGTCGTGAAAAGCCCGCAGTCGCGATTTTCCCGACTCACCGCCTTTAACTTTGAAAATAAAGACTGTTTTCTAAGTAGCATGCTCCTCTACTTGTTGTGCCAACTTCAACCCACATAGCTCGAAGTTTGCTGAAAACCATTATTATTTATTTGAATTCATTTTACGTCCGAAACTTACTTATAAGGAAGGCTACCTAACTTAGCTCGGCCTTTTGGTAAAAGGCATATATGTTCTGAATCAGCTTTAAACGATGATTTCAAATATATTATTCCTAGCTGCCACGCACCATTGCAAAGCGAATTATGGTCTTTTTCCTACGCTAAATTGGCATACTAATGAACATGAGAAGACTGCCTGTAGATAAAAATCTGCAAGATAAAGGTGCTGAGTTATCGAAATAGTACAAACTCAACCTTTTCTCACTAAAAAAAAGCTCAACACAGGTGTATCAGCACTCAAATGATAATGACGTGATGCCCGTGAGTCGATGAGTGTATTTCGCGCAGAAAAAAAAGCCCACACTCGCTTTGGAATGGTGCGTGGCAGCTAGGAATAGCATATTTGGAATCAGCGTTTGAAGCTAATTCAGACTGTATATGTTAGTTGCCAAAAGGCCGAGCTACGTTAGGTCCCAGACAGACTTCACGCGATTTGATCGTCGCGACTGAATCGCGACGAGACAACTGTTACAACATCATTCCATGCCTATCAACTTGCATTTCGGTTGTGATATTTTTCCAGCCCGAAATTTTTGAATGTGAAATGAAAATGATTGGAAATGTCGGCGATTTAGTCGCGACGATCAAATCGCGTGAAGTCTGTCAGGGGCCTTAGATAGCTTGCCTTGTTAGATTAGGAGATTAGTTCAAAATTTTTCCGCTAAATCAATGTAAGACATCGAAAATCGTATTTTAAGAAAACGCTTAACACTAAGGCACAGCTGGCACTACAATAGGAAAAGTAAACTTTCTATGTTTGAGAAAAATGTCGCCTTCTTCCGGCTACTTTGTTGGAAGTGCAGGTTTCGGCCAGCATACGTTTAGTAGCTTCTTGGATCATGACGCAGGATGCGTTCTGCATATGCACGCAATGGGTAATAAAAACGCAAGTGCATAATTCTCATTAGAATAGCTCTGTCGTTGTTGATCGTCATTGCCATAGAATTAATTTGAAGGCAGCGACAATTTAGACGAAAATTTTCTTTCTTTGAAAGTTCGAATCCCTTTGCTTGTGACGCAAAGGCCTGCCTGAGACACTTAACGATATTCGCTTGTTACACAAAATGAGCGAAAATCAAAACATGTACGTGAATTGGTAAACAATTGCATTTGGTGACATCAACAGATGAATGAAGAACCGGAAAGTGTGGGCAGAATTGAACGAAAATGATCCCATAGAGTTGGGAGTTCTTCTGATTTTTGAGGTTTTTCAGCGATGGCGTTTCTGTGCATTCATCAATTTTAAACTCTAAACAAAGCGATAAAACCAAACGATAGTCAAATAAAGAAAAATTTTGTTGTACAATTTACAACGACAGTTCATCTACTCTGATCAGACAACGAACTTTTACGATTATCATGCACATACTGATCTGCGACTAACTTTGTTCCAAAAATTGGAGGGTCTCAATCAAACGAAGCTTTCAACTTAAGAGCGCAGCCTACATAATTCAACAAAAAAGACACAGGCAAATATTGCAGGTTTCTTTGCAGCTTATGAACATTTTTAGTGACTACAATAAGTGCTAGCACAACAACAACGGTAGCAGTGCCAACATCGACAGTCACGGAAAGAATAGGTAAGAGCCTTTTTTTGTTTAAAAAGACTCATAGATGAACTAGAAATTTTATCATCGACGAGCAGCCTAACCATCTTTGTTAACATGTTTCATCGGAGGGGTTTCAACTAGAAAGCGCAATTACGGTCATTGATCTTACAAGGGAAGGATACTCGATCGCAGTGACGATTGGGTAAGCGGTATATACCGCGTATACCGACCCCAAACGGGGATCTCTATACCGCAATCCATATCTGCTATGACGTCGTTCTGGAAGAGCAAAGGATTTTTGGTGCTACAGGGCATTCAAGTACAAGACTTGCCTCATCACTGCCGAGGTCGACTGGTGGAGTGGAGTTGCTTGGACTGCTGAGCTGGATGTAGTGGGTTCAATTCCCTTTGGATGCCGGCGGTTTTGCGTTTTTTCAAAACCCTTCGTAGCTCTTCCAGAATGACATCATAGCAGATACGGATTGCGGTTTAGAGAACCCCGTCTGGGGGCAGTATACGCGGTATACACCGCTTACCCAATCGTCACTGCGATCAGGTAGCCTTCCCTTGTTAGATAGTAGAAGTAATAAGCTAAACGTTTCGATGCAACTTGATAAACAAACATTTTTAGTGACGACAGCAAATGCGAGCACAATGCCGGCGATTACAACACTAACATCGGAAACTGTCACGCAAAAATTGGGTATGAACTTTTCTCCATTTTGATCAAGAAACAAAGAAGATTAACCTTGCTAAAAAAAGATGAAAATGGACCAGAGTCACCGAGTGCAAAAAAAGAGAAAGGGAAGATTGAACACTTTTATCGCAATTTGAAAAACATTTTTTAGTGAAAATGACAGGCGTAAGCGCGAAAGCAACCGTAACAGTGCCGACATCGACAGTCACGGAAAGCAATAGTGAGAACCTTTTCTCTGTTTTAATCAAAGGCTAGAAATTCATAAATAAAATATAAAACTCTGTCATCGATTGAGCAACGTGACTGGTTTTGCCGATTGCTGAAAGAAAGGTGGAAAGGTGTCAACAAGGGAACTTTTAGCCAAAAAGTGCAATTAACATAGGCCACTGATCCTAGATAAAAGAAGTGAAAAAACTGAACGTTCTAATGCAGCTTGATATAAATTTTTAGTGACAACGGCAAATGCGAGCACAGTGGGGCTAGCGACAACGCCAACATCGCAAACAGTTTTGAACATAATGGGTAAAAATCTTTTTTTCCTTTTGATCGAAAAGCAAGAAAAAATATGAATAATTTATGAAGCCATTTCAGCCAAAAAGAATCGACATAGGTTTTTAATCTGAAAGAGCGTAGAAATCCTAAACGTTTCATTGCAGCTTGATATTAATTCTTCAGTAACGACGGAAAATGCGAGCACAATGGCGCTAGCAACAACGCCAACGTCGGAAACAGTTTCGGAAAAAATGGGTAAGAACCCTTTTTTGATTGAAAAACAAGAAAAACTTACCAATTTATAAAGCCGTTTCGGCTAAAAAGAGTCAACATAGGTTACTATCTGAAAGAGTGAAGAATTCTAAACGTTTCAGTGCAGCTCGATAAACAAATATTTCCAGTGACGACGGCGAGCAAAATGCTGTCAGCAGCATTGCCAACATCGAAAACAATCACAGAAGGAATAGGTAGGGATTTTTTTAAATCTCAACAGAGACAAACATTCTGTGCTGTTGAACTGCGGCCAAGATCGTATGGTAACAATTTGTTTTTGTAAGGCTAACGTTGGCGCCAACGCTGTCTTCAGGGCCTGTAACCGAAAACCTATGTGTGAGATACCTAATGAGCCCTTGTTACCGTAAAGATTCGAACAAATTGAGCACGAAACCAGCAAAGAGCTAAAACACACCTTATTTTCATAGATAGAATTAACAATTTTCTTATTGCTGGTGTTTGAGAGTTTCATGCATGCCCACAAAAGGTCTCAGAAAGATAGGTCATTTTGTTTTCTTAGAAAATGGTTAATTAGTGCTAATCATTGAAACAATAGTGTTTGTAAAGTCTTAATGCTCTAAAACTCATCATCGTCGATTTTGACAGCAATACAAATATAGCAAGCATTGAATACCGATCAAGCTGTCCGACGCAACAAATTGTTGTCCTTTTTTGCCAAACTTTATCTCTCTCAGAAAAATCGTCGCGCTTGGATTCGATTGAATCACAGTGGCGTAGCATCGATAGTTTGAAGCAAGCACGGAGATCATGTCGCTGAATTCCCTTCATAAGATTTCCCAAAAATTTCCTTTGAAACATATTTTCTTATAGAAATGTTTAGCAACTAGCCAAAGTTGAGAGTATCAAAATTTTTTGGTATTTCCCTCTATGTAATTCCAATGACAATATCATAAACTTCGACTCTGATGATCATAGATAGTAGAGGCATTTGATAGATTTAGGCGATTTTGTGAAGGCTACCGAATTATTTGGTGCCGGTTGTGCAAACTGGGTGTATGCCAAGATGAACGATAGCTGGCAATAAGCATACTGTATTCCTGCGGTTGTCAATATGTCACACATATAGTCTTATTTTTTTGAAGCTATATGTTCTTCACTGGATTGAAAATGGTGTCGAACAGTAAGAATTAGGGCATATCGAGCTTCCAGCGTTTTTTCCAAACTTCTAGATAACATTATAGCGTAAATACGGAATCTGAAAAAGATTTGACCTAGGCAGCGCATATGGCTGGCATTACCTATCGTTCATGTTGGCTACCCCCCGTGCAAATTCAGCTGACGTGAAGATGAGGAAACTGTGCCAGTGGGGCTTTTTGGTTTCAAAACTAGAAATAAGATTCCTGGTTTATCGATACGCTCACAAGCATTTGTTTCATCAAAACATAGCAGTCCATAGCAGATCTTAAGTACAACTTCAGGACGTATTCATCGACCTCTTTGAAAGATAGACGATTTTGACAATGTTCTGCCGTCTATTATACTCAAGTGTCAGTTATAAGAATTACCAGCGCTTCACCTCTGCTTCGCAGAAGCTCGCACTGGCCATTAAGAAACGATGGTAAACTTACGATGTGAAGGCTTTCTTCTAAATTATTGCCAGGTTGACTGCGGTGAGAGACCTAATTAAAAATGAACCATATTCGCTATCAAAATCACATGCTCCAAAGAATTGTAAATTTCACCAGTGTATTTTCGTAACAGAGCCTTACAGACCGACAAATTAGCGGCTTAATATAAGTCATGATGATAAGGAGCTTTACAGCTTGAACAGAAAAGTAAGAAGTCAGACGTTTAGAGTAGCAAAACATGACGCTCAGATTTCCTCCCTTCCCCAAAGGGGTGGACTCGCATACGGGCTTCACACCGCGCGACAAAGAGAAGTCGCGCAAAATTAATATTACTTTTTGGTGAACACCATGTCGAGGGGTGTATCCATTACTTGTGACTGTCAATTATGAAGACGCCGCGCGTGACAGGCTGGCAGTAATCAGATCGTCGAGTAGACCCATAGTACGGATTGAAACGAGGTGCGTACTGCCTGTCCCAAGTGTGACCAAAGCGAAACCTTGGATAAATTGCACGCTTGCAGCTTGCAGATTTGCGCCTCATATGCGCACCATCGGAGAAAGTGAAAAGATTTAAAGAGCAAATACAAGCTATAGTCAAGCCGCAAATTCGTGGCTATGCGCATGCATATCAAAAATTTAGACTGGTGCGAACTTGGACAGATTGTAAGTGCTGCAACGAAAGTATGCCCATGAAGAGCTATCGAAGATTCAGTCCCCTGCCTTTTATCGCAACTTCCTGCAAATTGCGACTATTGGCGTTCCACCGCTGGCCTCCATTCTCACAGTTATAGATTCGGTTTTAGCTTGTAAAAGTAGAAAGACTGTTTGCCTCATGCAAAAAATCACAAACTTTACACAATGTTTGTGCTTGCGCGACAAGAGTTCGATGAGAGAAGTCAAGAAGAGGGAATGAAAATAACTGTTGAATTTTGATTAACAAAAGCAGTTTAAAATAGTTCGCAGATTTTTATAAATTGTGAAAGAATATAGTTAGAATGAATGCGAAGATGCAACAATGGTAACTCATCGAAAAGACTATATAGGAATAATCTGAGCATATCAATAAATTCATAGACAAAAATTTTAGTAAAAATTACAGATGCACTCAAAACGACGGCAGTAACAGAAAAGACGTCAGAGGCAGTCACAGAAGGAAAGAGTAATTTTCCTCTCTTTTAACACAAAAAATTGTACATTATAATAGAATCATTTTCCAAGCCATTTTTCGTGTAGAAGAAATCTAAGCATATAAAGTCGATGGTTCTACATTTTTAGTGACGAGGGTAGATGCAACTACAGCGACGACAGTAACTGCGACGACATCACTGAAATTGGAAACCCTCAGAGTAAAGACGGGTAAGAACCTTTTTCTATTACAACAAAAATAAGGCCAGCTTTGATGGATAAACGTGGAAGTAGAAGTGTTCGACGACCAGTTGCATTCAAGATGAACTTCTCATTTCAGTATAAAATTCTCTCAAACGGGGCAGAAACATGAGGCACGAAATTTAGCGATGTACAAAAGTAATAAGCATTTCGCAACATTCGTTCTGCGAGATAGGGCAAAAAGGAGGCGTTGGGCAGTCTGGACGTACTGATAATTATGGCAGACGAAGCGGGTTGTTTTAACACAAGGCAAGCCAGTAAACGTAATTTATCTTGACTTGGCAAAGCACTGACATAGTAAATCATTGTTTTATGACCGAGTTGTAGAGCTTGGAAGTTGGAGGTTTGTAGCTGAAATGGTTGGGATTTTACTTCGACAAAATAAAATTTTCCTTCGTGTTTCTAATATTTCAACGGTGAGATTAACAGGTCTGGGACTCCACATAGCAGTATTCTTTTTCGATTCTATTCATTATACTGTAAACCCACCGAGTTTGTTCATCATGACCTCGTATTGGAGTGGCTGTGTACTCGAGTACCCTCCAAAACTTTCAGGGTCTTTCCCTTTGCGTTTTTTATGCTATCGTAAAAACACCTGCAAGATGGTAGCACTTCAAGAAAAAAATTGTCAGATTTTCTTTTGTTCAGTTCTTCTTTCCTTTCCTAGGCCAGGTCATTGTGCTATCCTTTTGTGGTACTTAGCCAATGGCGGAACCTTCGACCCTAGGTTTTTTACCATAACAAATTTGTATTTCTTATTTTCCTTTCAAAGTGTAAAAGAGTTTTGATGAAATTTGGATAGAGCCAATACAGTGCAAAACAATAAATTATTAGGTCATTTTGAATTATTTTCGCTTTTTTTCAAACGAGAGTAACATACCGCAAAACAAAGGTTTTGGAAAGAATTTGATAAAGCCATTCATTCTCTCCCAAACATTCTTTACATGCCGGCTCAATCAATCTTACAACTCATGTAGTCACAAGATAATTTTCCTCAATTTTTATAACAACCTCTCGAAAAAGCTCAAGCAGCGACTGTATTCTACATATAACGACTCCTACGCAATACGTAAATTCCCTTATTTCTCGTCAGAATTTTTCGGTGAATTTTTTATCAGGACCACCCATGGGTGCGATAGTCGGAGCAATTTCTGTGCCCTTCACTTTTGTGCCAGCATCTGGATAACTATTCTTCATTTGAGCTTGAGACTAGAGTCGAGGCATAACGGCAGAATGATACACCTTGATAAATAGTGCACATTGCACATTCTGTATGGGAACGCCAGCTGCTGCTGCCACTCAGTGCATGACTGCAGTTTTACAGCTTTGTTGAAAAAAAGGCTTGGGATCTCTTAATTCATTCACAGGAGCTTAGTTGATGACGATGTGGAGCTAAAAATTTGAAAGATGTTCAGTTCTTTGAATAAGCAACTTTTCAATGATTACACATTGTCGCAAAGAAGAGTTATGCAAGAGTAGAAGTCTGTCTGACAGTGATGGACGCATGTTCACTCAAATATCAAGCTATATCTTCTTTCTCTAAAAAGCATGGTAGAAAGCAAAGACGCGGGCGCGACCTATCTCGCCAATATATTAGGTTGTCCCATAAGTCTTTTCATTTTTGAGTTTTCGCTGTGATAAGTCGTGTACTTTTTATTCTGAATAGACGTCAGGATAGCATTCGATAAAGCAAAGCAAGCTCCACAAGATGGTGTTTCGGTTTTTGCACCAGCTTCGATCCACCTCAAGTTTCAAACCAAAATCTAAAAAGTTTCGGATGCCCAAAGAATTAAAATTTTTTATCTCTTCGTTCAAAAAGGTCCTACAAATCTTTCACTCGCTCACGCATATACACTTCACATCAGACACTCATATGTGCTGTTGCCGTATTTTTTCATTGGCTAGAAATCAAGAAAACGAAAAATTCCATGTTTTTACGAAAGTGATGCTGTGCTGTTCTTACACCAACGGTTGTGTACTACAAAAATTTAGAAGTACGAACCTAAATTTTTAGCTCTCTATGAGCTCTAGTTCCCGAGAAATCAAATTTAGTTTTCCCCATTCGGGCTTTTTACGCTTAACCTAGCATTTCTCGGTAACTAGAGCTCATAAAGAGCTAAAAATTTACGGTTGTACTTCTGAAATTTTGGTATATAACTGTTAGTGTAAGAACAGCACAGCATCACTTTCGTAAAAACATGGCATTTTTCGTTTTCTTGATTTCTAGCCAATAAAAAAATACAGCAACAGCACATATGTGAGTCTGATGTGAAGTGTATATGCGTGAGCAAGTGAAAGATTTGTAGGACTTTTTTGATCAAAGATATAAATAATTTTCAATTTTTTGGAAATCCGAAACCTTTTAGATTTTGGCTTTAAACTTGAGGTGGATCGAAGTTGGTGCAAAAGCATAGACGTCATCTTATAGAGTGCTTTGCTTTATCGAATGGTGTCCAGGAGCCTACTCAGAATGAGAAGTGCACGACTTGTCACTGCGCAAACTCAAAAATGAAAAGACTTATGGGACAACCTAATACGTGTCTCCACATGATGTACACGTGATAAGCTAGGCAACATTGACCCCATACGGTCTCCTTTCTTTCCAAACGGACAAACTACACAATTAGGAGCTGTATAGAGACAATCATACTTGCAGTTTGGCACTAGTTGCTATTTAAATGTTGCGGCCGGAATTTTGACGATCCTCACCGCATCGTTAAGGTTTGCTTAATAGAGTAATCTGCGAACAATCCTCTAAACTTCCTGAAATGTATGGCAGAAAAATGGGATCTGATTCAGCTTTTGATCTAAGCGGCACATGGGCTCAGTATCTGCAAGACTGATAAGTTTTTTGTGCTGTATCCGCTGGATTTCGCCACAAATTTTGCGAGCTCCAGCGAGTGCATCTTCTCGTCTCTGTAGGAAGAAGATTCCTCCCTGCACATTCTAAACATGTTACCTATAATGTTTGCCTTTATTCATGCAGGATGCGCTGAAAATTGGTGTAAGGTGTTCTTGCTGCTCTGCTTTCGGTACCATTTGGTCTTGAAACGTCCGTCCACAAACGTAACTGCACGTTGAACGGCAGCCGCCCATCTTTTGTTTCTCTTCGCCATTTTGATGTTGTTGTCCTGAACACATTCGTGATATTGAAGAAAATATCAAGGTCGGCCTGGACACAGGATACAGCAGTGTTTACGTGCCGACAATAGAGCAGAGACTTCGCCAATACTGGGTCTTCCACCTTACACATGAAAACAATCGCCATTGTCGGCGTAGTTTCTGTCTCATAACCAATCCTCTAATTTGCCTGTTATAGATGCCACACCAACGCTAAATGAAGCAGTTGGGATTTTTTTAACCAACGACAAGATGTTCCTGATGTTAACACCATAGAGATAGTAACGACTGGTGTCAAAACAAGTTTGAAGGTCGCTTGCATTGCGGCGTCGTTGGAGACGCTGGTATAGAACGATTCCACATCGAAAGACTCTAAAACGGAGATAAAATAATTTACAAAATTAGCTGGTTGTGGAGCTAAAGCCATAAGTTTCTTTACTTAACAATTTGTATATCATTAAAAAGCTCGCAAAACGGGGATGCGAAGTTGACCGTCTCTTTCTTCTAGCTTTCTTCTTTCTTTCAGAAATGCAACGCAAACTGATTACTTAAAGTCAGCTAATGTTGCAGTTAGATGAAATTTTTGCATGTATATTCAGAGGAGAGCTAGAAAAAAAAGACGGTCTACGTTAACTCTGTATACTCCAAGCTTTCGGATAATCGATTGATGGGATATGAAACTTCTAAATTAAAAAGTTTCTGTTCAATAACTTTTGAAGCAAAAGCATTAGGAAGTTTTCTCTGTACCACTTAGACTCCTTCTTTTACCGCCAGTTCTGCTCGGCATGTAAGTCTACATTAGAAATCACCTCCTGGCTCAGTCACCCCCTTCACCTTTCTAGGCCGGAAGTAGCCCCTTTCATTCTCACCCTGCTTCCCCTTGTCTCCTAGGGAACCGCCCTTCAACAGGCAAACATCAGTAATTTACGAAATTTGAAAACCTGGAAAAAAGGTCTAAAATTCTCTTCAAAAAGCAGCAACCGTTCACGAATCTTCTCGAGTTTTCGGGAACAGCGTCGAGCCAGCGCTCAAATACATAAACTGTAATGATTTCGTCCTCTAAGCCTCCATATGGTCAGCCCGCCTTATCGTAGCGGGTTGACCCGTGCGTCGAAATGCAATGTGCAGCCGACTTGTACTCTGGTAGTGTCTCGCAAGGAGTTCGACATCTTTGATGTTGGATGAGGGTCTCCCAAGCCAAGGAGTTCGACACCTTTGGTTCGGACGAAGGCTCAGCTAAGAGCGGACCAGGTCAGGTCCCCGTCGCCTGCAGCCCCGGGTGGTAGCAAGAATGATGCCAAGATGATGCGTCAAAAATGACATATCTGCCCGGATGACGCACCATGTACACTGTCATGCTTTGCTACCTAAGACGCCTAAGACATTTTCCACGAATGCCGACGTCTAAGCTTTTCTCAACGCTATCAAGTACACGTTACCGCTTTGCAGGAAACGAAGTCCAGGAAGAAGGGCGTGAAGGTTCCATAGCGAAATATTTTACGCGTTGACTTTGTCGTTTCCATCCATCTATTCCATGTTGTCGATTCACATTAGAGTCTATCACCACGACTAACCATCCTAAGACTAGGACCTCCACGTCAGAAGACCATCAGCATCATCAATGGCTACTCACTAACATCAGCAGCTGATAATTCAGAACTAGACGCTTTCTACGAAGACGTGGAGCAGGTTGTCCGCAACGAGAAGTCCTCCTACGTTTGTAGTGGGTGACTTCAATATGAAAATTTGGATTCCACTACTCAAGGAAATTGGAAAGTTTGCATATGGGATCCGGAACGAAAACGGTAGCTTTGGACTTCTCTCTGCCGCACAATTTTATATGGAAATAA